AACCAATCATCAACTTTAGTACGATACGCTTTGTCGGATTGGCTAGAGGGAGGGTTAACAAGTATGTGATATATACCCAGCGGTAAGCCAGGCATCATACTATAATGATAGATAGATATTTATCTATTRCACTTACATTGCACTATCTTCCAGTTCTCTTTCACCCGGAACATCACGTGACARCATGATCCCTCGGTTCATCTTGGCGGGGTCTAGTGCCCAGTTAGATAGCCCAATAAAGGCAACTCGAGTTGGCTTTTCATCTGTCTCGATGATGTCATCAGATGATGTCACTCCATCTTCCAGTAACGGGTGTAGCGTCTTCAGTGGCATCAAAGGTGAATCTTCAGCCAAGCCAACCTCGTCTAGTACTACCACTGATACGAACTTCTCTGGGTTTTTATCTTTCTGAAAGTTTGCACACTGCCTGAATGTCTCCTGTATCCCCTCAGGGGTGGAGAGAGGACTGCACTGATGCGATGACATCTGAACCTAAATAATGATAATCAAACGATACCATWCATGTGTCAAACTTTAAAATGACTTCAAAATGACTAAATTAAAGTTACCTCTTTAAATGACTTGAATAGCTTAGACTTGGACGCATCTCCTTGCATATTATCAGCCACAACTGTCTTAGCGAGWGATTTKGARCTGCCTGGTTTACCGATGACAAACAGMGGGATACGAAGCTCSATACAAAYCACCATCATGAACACGTTCTCGCTGAGGGCTGTGTTACGAGCGATGTTTGGACCTGGATCAAGTTYTTCTAGCACTGCTTTCTGGCAACTAAAATATGATAAACCGTGTTAAACACTTTGTACAAAAACATATGGTCAATGTGGATAAACCCACAAGAAGCATTCACACGGTAATCGTATGAGTGGAAAAGGTACGACTTGCCAGTAACACTGAAATTGYCTCCTATTGTTTTCCAGTAATTTGATCCAATCACAACGCGCCGTCACGGTTACGGTGAGATGCGGTACGTGTACAGTACGATTACGAGTTTGCTGCATTGTTTTGCTACTACGGAAACGGCTCTGAAAATTCTACTTTTCATAGGGACAAACGAAAACGAATAACGAGTACCTAGTAATTTCTTGTAGTATTCTGTTTGCACCACCATACAAGAGACAAGGACGTTTGAAGGTCTTTGCTATGTCTTGACGGTATTGCGATCTGTCTTGYAGCTTTGCGTGATAGCAAACACCAATGGCTAGAATAAGAGACCACGTGACTGGATCTAGATCCTAAAAATAGTAACAATAATCAGTAAAAATATATAAATATATTAATAATATGAAAAAATAAATGCAGCAAATATTCGTTTTTCTTTTGTTTGTTCATTTGTTCATTTAAATATATAAATATATTAATAATATGAAAAAATAAATGCAGCAACTTGCTTAACTACCTTCGTGGGGTCATCTAAGTCTTCTTCTTCCTCCTCGATGAAATAAGGTATGTCTGGTATGTCTTCAGAGGCGAATGGCCTCACTGGGATGTACTCATTTCCAACATCAGGAAAATGGGGAGGAAAGATTGAACCAGATCCCGATGAAATGGGTTCTAAATCAGCAGGCTCTTGTGGCTGACGGAATATACTTTTGTTTAAGCCAGAAAACATTAATCCTGGCCGTGGTTTTTCGTTTTCTCTGGTGGCTGTTTCTTCCTCATCTTCGTTTTTCATTTCTTTCACGTGCCCATCGCTATCGCTATCACTCTCATCCTCATGATCATCGTCATTATCATCGTCAGGGTTGTCCTCATCGTCAGGGTTGTCCTCACTATCATTATCAGTTCCTCCAGTCCTTTCCTTGTCCTCTTGTTTGGCAAATTTTTGAAAAACTTCTCGATGTTCGTAGAACCACACCATGACATTCATCGTACGCTCCACATCACGAAGACTAACAAAGCTGCACTCGTCCTGGTAATAAAATATCCATTATTAATAAATAAATACTAATAATACTTATCCATTGTGGATGATACTTACGGATTGTTCTCTCATGTATTGTTGGGATGCAGCTAGTACTGCTGTAATGGCGTCCACTAGGGATTCATCGCCAGGGATACGTTCTTCTGTTATCACCTATAGGCAAACAAAAAACAAATAAAACCATTTCTTTGCCAGAGAAGTTTGCGTATGAAATGAAAAAACCCACGGTACGGACCGTGGCACCTCCGATCATTCTGATTGGACGACCACTGATCATGCGCACTGTAATTCATTGGGCGTMATTTGTTTTGTACCGTTGCCGTGCTTAAGCATTCTGTTTGAATGACCAGTAACCATGCGCATTGTAAATCATTGGGCGTCATTTGTTTTGTACCGTTGCCGTGCCTGAGCATTCTGTTTGAATGACCAGTGATCATGCGCACTGTCATTTAATAGACGTCAGTCATTCTGTGCCGTTGCCGTGCCCAAGTATTCTGATTGGACGAACAGTATTATACGCATTGTCATTCAATGGACATCGTTTATTCCACACCGTTGCCGTGCCCGAGTATTCTGATTGGACGAACAGTATTATACGCATTGTCATTCAATGGACGTCGTTTATTCCGCACCGTTGCCGTGCCCGAGTATTCTGATTGGACGAACAGTATTATACGCATTGTCATTCAATGGACGTCGTTTATTCCGCACCGTTTCCGTGCCCGAGTATTCTCATGGGAAGACCAATAACATCATATAGACGTCATTTATTCAGTGCTGTGACTTCGCCATTGTGAAAAAATTCTAAATTCTAAAGAATATTTACATGTCGCAAGACGATCTGTCTGGTATAAAGTCGCTCCACTTCAGGTTTGAGTTGACCAAAGTCCCAGATCAAAGATCTCATGCTGTCGGGTAAAGCATGAACACGGTAAACCAGGTGACGTAGAGGAACACAACCTGAAACAAGTGTATAGTCGGTTAATGTACACAATCCCATGGCACAGAGTGTACGCGCTTGCAAATTAATCTCTATCGAAGCGCGGTTATTTGGCGTCGAATAGACCCCTCTTRYATGCGACGTCAAARCAGCTCAWTTTGGAGGAAACAAAAGAATTTCAATCTCCTGAAAATCGGAAACCTATTGTTATGTCATCCGAAGTGAGTTGCATTCCGACGTGCTGCAAGAGGTCTATTCAAAGAGTGGAAACTTAAATTCAAGTGTAAACAGGGATCCCACGCTTTKCTTATTCCTCRCTTGTAAATCTGGACGTTAGTCGTCATGTAGATAGCATGATAATATACCTACCGATTCGTTCTGTTGTGTTTCCTGTCTTGACACTGTAACCAAGTCCAGCAGATTCCAGCTTCTTAATCATTGTATCTGTGTGTCTGTGGAAACCAATAAAAACGCTTTTAGTGATCAAGAAGGTGCTAACTGGGTGCAAACTGGGCTACTTTGCAAGCTAAAATAGGACCGAAAGACCGTGTCAATACATTTTGTTATATGACGCGCGTACGTGGACTTACTTTCTGTAAGGATTACAGGCAGCAATGAAGCGTAAACCATCATCTTGTGAATCAAGAGGACGTCCATTCAATCGTCTATCCACCATTATCTCCTTCACAAGATCAAGTGCTTCTGTGGTGTTCACTTCGTCAAAAAACAAGATTGTTTCCACGTTGTTTTTGGAATTTTCCTTTGCCATTTGTCGGGCTTGTTGTACTTTCTTTTCGATGTCTTGGAAAGTAGTGCCACCGTGTACCTACATGAAGTATAGGCGTGGTTGATCATGATGGATTTGAAGGCAAAACAACGTCAGACAGAATAACAAACAGACATTAGACAGACAGACAGACTGACTAACAGACATTAGATAATCAGACAGACAGACAGACATAAAGACACACTGACTGATTGACAGACATTGGATAATCAGACAAACAGACATTAGACAGACAGACTGACTGACTAACAGACATTGGATAATCAGACAGACAGACAGACATAAAGACACACTGACTGATTGACAGACATTGGATAATCAGACAGAATGAATGAATGAATGAATGAGCTTTATTTAATCACGAAATTTCATCAGTTTTGATAACTGGTTTACATAAAAGTCGTGTATTAAAATCTAGCTATGTACATCATTATAAATAAAAAGATAGTATATAAAATAATAATATATTAAGATTTACATTATTGTAGTGTAGCTATGTAGTTGAATCAAAAGTGAGGTAAAAAGATCACTCAGAACCACAAGCAAGAACTGAAAAGTTTTTAATCTTGTTCCTAAATGTTGGGAAAGACTTTAAATTCTTAATATCTGTCGAAAGGGAGTTCCACAGTTTTGGTCCTTGGTAGAGGAATGATCTCTTTAGATAATCTGTTCTTGGTAATGGTAAGTTGAAATTTACCTCATTCTCTCTTAAATTATAGGACTTAGTACTGTTTACTGTGGAGAATTTATCATTTAGATAATTAGGAGCAGTTTTAGTTTTGATTTTGTACATAATCGCAACCTTATGCTTAGCTCTCCTTTCAGCTAAGTTATCCTACTGTAGCTGCTTTCGAATATCTGCTGATCTAATTTCGTATCCAGAGCTCGTGATAACTCTTCCAGCTCTGTTTTGCAATCTTTGAAGCTTAGTGGTTAAACCCTTTGTCAAATTGTCCCATACCACATCGCAATAATCAAAATGTGGCTGAATTAAGGAACGATAAATCAACAAAAGGGTTTCTTTTTCAACATAAGGTTTGATGTTTCTTAAGCCTGCTATTGCTGAGGAAACTTTCTTGGAAATATGATCAACATGAGCTGACCAAGAAAGCCTCTCATCTATATAGACACCTAGYGATTTAGCTGTTGCAACCCTTTTAATACAAGTTCCTGCTATCTTCAATTCTGGATCATGAAGTAAGCTTGCAGGCTTATAATCTGATGCGATAAGCATAAACTCTGTTTTTGTTTCATTAAGACTTAATTTATTGGCTAAAAGCCAATCATATAACTTTTCAAGATCCAGAAGAGACATGTTTTGAATTTGTAAAGTATTAGTCCCAGCCATAGTAATTGTAGTATCATCTGCAAACATCCTTGGGGTTAAAAACTCTAAACAGTTTGGTAGATCATTGATGTATATAAGAAACAGTAACGGGCCCAAATTAGAGCCTTGGGGAACTCCGCATTGTAATTCACCTCGATCAGAGATGACGTTATCGATGTAGCAGTATTGAGTTCTATGGCTGAGATATGATTTGAATAATTCTAGTTCTACAGACAGACC